AAAAGATAGCGTGACTTAGAGGATGCCAGGAACAGCGTTACCTACAATGTGACCGCCTTGAATAGCGTGACCTACTGTCTAACGGGATCATCTTAAAACAGTGTTGCGTTACGAACTCGAGGCCTAAGACGTTATTGCATGCGTCAGTATGTCAGAAATCACATAAAATAGCCTTCCTAACCCACCAAGATCAAAATCGCAAGAAATGGTGTGACCTAATTTCGTATGTAAACAGAATCACTGAAAACAGCATGACTTAGTCTAGCAGAATTGCATGACATAGCGTGACCTAGTTTGCTTGTAACAGAATCAACCAAAAAAGCGTGACCAAGATCATTATGTAACGGAACTGCATAAAATAGTGTGACCTGGTTTTGGGAGTAATCACTCAAAATGGCGTGACCAAGATCAGAATGTAACGAAATCGCATAAAATAGTGTGATTTCATAGTTAGCTCCCAGAACCAATATACACGAAGAACATGACAAATTGTAGGGAATCGACACTGAAATGATGAAGGAAATTCTTTCTTAGTGATTTGTTTTGCCAGCTGTACTAGACATGAACTTTACTAGTACGGTTCAATACTGAGACATAGAAACAGTAATGTATATAATTCAGTGTAGCAGCATCGTCTTCGCAGTTCGTTTACCTTGTTCCTGTTCTGATCGTTCGTTTAGCTCCGTAGTTGTTTCATGTGGCTGACGCGTAATACAGTGTTGGTGTGTGTTTCTATGGTTACACGTAGAGCTCGGTAGTCGATACAGAAGCTAAGCAAGCTGGCTACATACACTCTTTTTTTATAAGACTATTGTTTTAGCGGCTTAAAATATTCTTGTAAATATTAGGGAGCTTAATAAACCACGACGGCGCCGAAGACAACGTCTGTTAAATAATAATTTCATATTTCACCTCCGAATCTCGCGGTACCTAAAGCCATTTACTTTGTTTATCACTGTCAAAGCTATCACGAAACTGAATCTAGGACACATCGATAAATTCCAAATAAGAATTTTAAAAATAAGCCGTTGTGGTTCACGTTCTCCAGGCAACGCAGAATTTGGTCATTTGACGTTGTTGTTTTGCAGAGTAAGGCAAAGAAATGTACCAAGAATTATAACGCACGTGCACAGCCATTGTTCTCCTTATCAAACCTTTCATTTAGCGACGTTGCCGTTGCCCTATTCTTAGATTAAAGCATATGACATATCTGTTTTCGAAAGTATCTGGTGTCTGGATGGTGTTAAGACGGGTTCCGTTCCAAGTTCGAGCAATAAATGCAAAAATTATTGATTAAAAATCTACTCATAGCACGGTAACTTTGGAATACTATTCAAAACAACTCACTTTAGTTCATTTCTCTAAGCGACCCGCCATTAAATTCTCAAGCATTCTCTCGAAAGTTAATGTCAAACCTCGTAAGAAGGCTTAATGTGTGTGTTATTGCGGTTTTAACTAGCGCGAAACGTATGTGTTAATTGAAATATTGATAACTTCAAGTCAATTTCCCTCACGGGGTCAGCTTGAGAGCTGAAGTCTCGATAAGTTTTTCTCAGTTGTATTCAACCATGAGGTTTTTTTGGTAACTTAATTTTTGCCATTATTGCTCCAATGCTCTGTTGAAATCATCTTAATCATCTTAAAGTAATTCTGGAACCAGCCTATGAGGCACATAACGTCTTGCAGAAATGTTATTAGCATTGATCATACGGCTACTTCTGTTTTTGTTACTTTTTGGTCAGTTTTGCCGTTCAGAGAAAGGAAGAGTTTTATACAGCTTACTTAAAAACATATAATTGTATTGTATTTACAAACTTTCAACGCTCATTACTTATATTCTTTTTAAAATCTCAGCCTCGGGTTTATTCTTAAGATATTTTTAAATTTCGCAAATTTCAGTCTCGATATTCTTCTAAAATATACTTCTGATAAAAAAAAAGGAGTGTAGTATATCAATGAAGATGACCCTGAATTCTTATGTTATCCGTAAATAATGTTTCTACTTTTTTTCTCCATGACTGATGAAATTCAGCGATCTATTTCACCTGAACATAAGAAAGGAAACGAAAGGAAAAATAGAAGCGGAAAAAAGGGAACTTATTTCGCTTTGAGTCCCACGCTCAACATCAAAAAATCTTCTCAATGTTTGCTTAAATATTTTCTACATGTCTCATTAAGAGAGTTTAGTTACTTAACTAGGCAATCATCGGTTGTTTCATTCTTATGGGTCAGTTAGAAAATGAGAAGTGCAATACATACGGAGAGAGAACTCATTTATATAGCCGAGCTCGAGAGCGCGTGTTCAAGCTCTGAAAATGACAGTGAATGTTGTTTTTATGCCTGGTCTGTTTTTCGCAAATGAAAGAAAAAAAAAGGACCTTGATCGGATTAAAAATAATAACAATAATAATAATAATACCCAGAACTAAAAATAACTTAATGATTTTATAGCGTGTTGTCTGGCGGGTAGGAGTAATCGGGCTTATGATTTTTCCCACGAGGAAGATGAGTTTAAAGTGATATAAATTGCATTGAAAAATTTCAAGCCCTTTAGAAAATCACGCGATCGTGTTAACTTGCTAATCCTTTTGTAGCATTTCTAAAACGGAAGGAAACATATTCAAGTGTCTTTCTTTCCCGCATTTTAGTTCGGCTGCTTTGAAGCTGAATTCGCTGCATCGGTTTGCAGACCAAAAAATAAAATTTGTGTTTAGGTACAGCCTGCTAACGACATGTGCAGAAACACGTCATTCCACAGACACAGTCATTCATGCTGTTAAGAGATTTGATGCTGAACGTCCCTAGCTGAATAGTGTAACAAAATTCAAGAGCTTTCGTTTGACAAATGATCACTCACTTTAAATTTAACGATGTGATATTCCGGTGCTGTTTTCAGAAAGGGAGACGGGCAAACATTTGCAGGATGCCTTAAAACTGTCAGATATGTTCTTAGATTACCACTCGCAACAGAAACGAAGATAGCGATTTTATAGAAGAATCCCGCCACATAGATAATTATTTTGAACCGTCTCCCCTTCAGTCACCTGATTCAAGAGCAATATTTCAATATGACTTTTATTTTGCTCCCCAAACCGGATCTTATATTAGATTGAGTAAGATTTTTTGAACTCCTGTAGTTGGTCTGCACAGTTCTTCATTTTTGAAAGGTCAATCTCGACCGTACTCAAGCTACAAAACTAGAAACAGTTCAATTTCCACATCGACCTTTTAAAATCTTCTTTTGACACAGTATGAACGAGAAAGGCGGAATTTCACTTGACAAACAAACTCGTTCATGTTTACTTGACTAGAATAGGGTATGCTGATGATCTGTTGTTGTTTAACCTTTTACCCAATGCTCAGTGACTTTGATCGAATATGTGTCAACTGCCCTTTCGGTCCACGGTTTCAAACTTCAAACAGCTATAAATCTCAAAATACCCATCACGGCCCATAAAAGTTACGAGCTACTTGACAAAAAACCCATTAACTGTCGAGTCTAAATAACATTTAACCACCTCTTTTTGTACCGTACATTAACAAACCAAAATAACCCGAGCGGTGAAAAAACTATGTTCCGTGAAATCAGCCTTAGACAAAAATCTGAGACAAAATATTATTTATTTAAATCAACCGGCTTTTTGCCTGAGGCGAAACTAAATTCTTGAAGAGAAAAATCCAGGACCGTGCAAGTGGCGAAGTAATTCGCAGGTTTCTCCGGTTCTCAGTTTGATTTTCTTAAGCATGAGAAATAAATATCTTGTCTCGAACGGATGCTGCCGAGAATTGTCTGAAACACTCTTGGGGGTCTCACAAAACATTCGTGACAACACATTGAATTCGTGATTTCGAAACTGAAATTCGAACGTAACTTGATTGAAACAAGCACGATATACTGCAGATCGCTTCAGCGTTATTTTTCGTGACACGGGATTTTCACCACTGTCATACCGATACATTTTTTCCCAGTTAATTCACGTCCGCAAAAGCTGTTACATTGGTAATTCAAGTCGCAGTGGAACCTAGACAAGACCAGACAAATATAATGACACATTTTTTATCGCAATGCGTAAAATTGGCAGGGTGAATAGGGCATCGTATCGGCTTGCGTCTTGTGTATGTCCTCCCGTTTTTGCTCGTCTTAATTAAGGGTAGATTTCTATCTGCGACTACGGTTAGTTTTGATCTGTGTCGGGCAAACTCTGTTGTTTTTACTTAGTCCAAGTGTCAAGCTTCACGAGTGGAGAAGATAATTTTTTTTATGTCAAACACCGGTCACTATAATTTCCGGTTCGCTGCCCTTTTGAAAAATTTCACTCCGCCTTCACGGTGTTGAGTTGCACATCGCTCCTTTGCATAAAAAATCAAAGATCACTTTTTAGCACTACTGCTCTCAAGAAACCTATAAACCAATGCATTTGTTTTTGATTCCCTGTTGTGCTCTAATCATTTGCAAATAAAACGAACCGCGCGTTGCTTTAGAAATTTTAACACAAGACTGACACATCTTGATGTCCGGCCATGACGCCCAGGTCACCTTTTCGCCTTCATATCCGTTCCAAGATATTTTCTACGAGTGAAGATCTAAAACGGCCAAAATGCGCAGCTTAAACTTTAGTCCGAGCGTCGTTAATGCATTGTATTCTTTAGAAAAACTTGTCAAAAATAACCCTGATTCACTGTTATGTAAATTTAACTGTAGGCACGTACAAAAAGCCAATTTAATGTGCCAACTTGTAGTTACTGCAGATTCATCTGGTTCCCAAGTTACATAATTTCTCAGGGATTTTTCGTTCGATTCCCGGCTAAAAGTTTAGGTTTGGTCCCCCTGAACTGCCAGTTACTTTTAGTTTGATTCTCAGAGATACTGGAACTGTTGTATAAATTCTTAAACACACATTTGCCTTGTAGGTCCATTGTTGAAGTGGGAGGCATCCAAGTGTGACAGTAAATCCAAAGGGAACCCACTGCCCGAAGGAACAAACCAAGCACACTTAATATTATCTCGTGAAAAAATAATTTTATTGGCCAAAAAATGGAAACATCAAATACGCGATTTCAGCCCAAGGCACAACAGGAATGACTATTTTTTTTTTCTCTGATTATTACCGCAAGACGTTTACAAAAGCTATCATCTCTATCGATCTCTTATTTACATGAGGATAGAATCGTAAATCAAGTTTCATTTGGCAAGCACTCTAATGTAGAGGAACGCTATAAATTAAGAACTTGGTAGCTCTGTTGCAACATAACACACTGCGACCTGGTCTTTTTCTACCGCCTGTCAGATGATGTGTCAGACACAAAAGTTGGCATGTAGAGATTTTTTTTGGCTTTTCGCGGAAAGGGAAAACAAGAACTGTAAAATTCTGCTCCAAATAAAATAATATTCGGTTTCAAGCGCATGAATCGTTCCGTGAATTTTACAATAAGCTGTGTTCTAGTAAAATCGGGTTGCGAGGCACATCGCTTCGATTCCGCTAACAAGAAACCGTGTGTGGTAGCGTGTTTATAGCTTCTGTAATCGAAGCCATGCGAAATTTTGTTCTCCTAGCTGAAAGCTGCCCATGGCAGCAAGTTAAATTAAAATCCTCGCTCCATAGGAGCTAATTCGTCAATAATGTTCCTGATCCTTGAGATCGTTCACTTCCAAACGAGTGTGTGCAGACGAGAGGGAGGTGACTGTGGGTTCTGTGCGGTAGTGGTTGGTGTTGAAGCAGGAACAACAATAGAAGGAACATTGGAGATCGCGAAGGCCCGTGAGGTATTACCACTGACTTCAGGCTCACCGAACGGGAATTGAAAGGCACCGTTTTCAGGCTGGTTTCTCTGCTGCAGGGCTGACGGAGCGACTTGGTTCGGAGGGTAAGACGAGGGAAGCTTTTGTAGCTGTTCCATAAACTCCGTGTAACTGGATGAGACGGAATTATTATTCGACAAGAACTTGTTCGCTCCGTGTGTTTGGGTGAAGCCGTGAGAGGAAAACGTGACGGACGAGGCCGTTGAAGGTGGTGTGGACAGCAGCGGCTGAGTATACGAGTGCAGATATTGATCGAACTCGGTCGTGTCCACCATTAGATCTGTGGTCAGGTCGCCCATTTCAACGTGAAAGTCGATCGCGCTGTTGCCGCTGTTCTGCTCTGTTTTCTTTGGGCAGGCAGGAAAGCTGGATGGAGGACCTGGGATGTCAGACTCTGACACGCTCGCCTCGGAGAACTTCAGTCCACCTTCCAACTTGACCGTGGCTGTGGGGGTAGTTGGAGGCGAAGTTGCTGAACTGCTGGAGCCCGGGCTGCTAGCTTCTTCGCTTAAGCTGCTTTCTGGGCTCGCGCAGTTGCCCTCTTGGCATCCAGATTTTGGCACCAGCTGTGTATCGCCTTTCAGGACTTTCAACAGATCATCGGCTGAGATTGTTGCCTCCGGTTGATCGGGACCGCCGTTGCCTTTTTGCTTCTTTCTCCGCGGTTGATATTTGTAATCGGGGTGCTCTCGCTTGTGTTTCAGCCGCAGTCTCTCTGCTTCTTCGATGAAGGGCTTCTTCTCCGCATCATTCAGCAGTTTCCACAGTTTTCCTAATGTTTTGCTCAGTTCAGCGTTGTGAAGATGTGGGTACTGATCAGCCAGCTTTCTCCGCGCCGCCTGCGCCCAAACCATAAAGGCATTCATAGGTCTCTTAACGTGTGGCTTGTGTTTATGGCCTCCGTTCACTCTAACAGGCAGCGGAATTAAAGACCAGTCGTAGCCATCTAAGACATGATTTACCGCAGTTGCGATGGCGCTGCTTAAATCCATATTCTTCGCCTGAGCGATGTCCGGTTCGTTCTTCTTAATTTCGGGGTTCGTTTGTTCCGTCATGATCTCTACCACCGCAATCAGTTGTTTTCTAACGCTTTCAAACCAGGACTGAGAATTCTCCAGCCGAAAAATCGAACTTCGTGCCAATTCGTATATTGGCGTATAGATATTCAAAACACACATATAATAATATCCTGACCAATCAAGCGAGACAACATATTATGTTACCTCTCTCGCTGATTGGTCGAGCGGAAAACCGCAGCCAATCAGATGGCTCGTGTCAAGGACATAAACACCCGCTGGATGTAGGTGTGTTGAAACCACTTAACTAAGCTCTGTTATTGGCCATCGCCAAGGGATCTCAGAGCACGTGGGCGTCGAAGTGTTACTTTCAAAACCTCAGCAACTCTGTTATCTTTTTTTGTCTTTCTGGAGGCGAGGAAAATTTTGATTGGAACTCATTTCCTTTTCGCAGGATACGTAGGCCTCGAACGCTGCTACAGCAATTCCGTGAGAGTAAATAAACTACATGCCGTGCGCGCACTCTATAATTATCTCGCGCCGTACTGTTGACAGAGCTGGCGCGCTCTTCTCCCGTCTCAAATCAAACGCTTGCCATCCACTGGCACGACACGGTGGTGTGATCTTTGGCGAGTCTTAAACAGTATCAAGTTAAGCCACGGGAGATATTTTTTTTTTACAGTTGCAGTGGTACCGTCTGAGATCATGAAATGCGACTTCGACAGTCTTTTTTCGAGACAACATTTTAGCGTAGGAGCTGGGAAAAAAGGATTTGCGTTCGGGAAAGGGTAGAGAACAAAAGAGGAAAATAACAGGAAAGGGCGACAAATATCTTAGCTGGAACAAATGTCGTAAGCGCTCGTGGGAGATATCAATTTGTAGAAGAAGTGTGCGCGCGTGTTTGATAAGGGCGCTGATAATTAGACGAACCGTTTGATAAAATTGTCCATAATTCAGATCTCCTGCGAGCAAGGTCCCTTCGATCTTTCTGGAAAATAGGTCCTGTTAGCAGGGCATAATTAAATTACAAGTTCACAAGGCAACGTATTTCAGAAAGATCGCCAAACCCGACGTAACCAGAGTCTCGTTTTCAACGCCATTAACGGTTGCATGTGTGAAGATTAATAAACCCCAGATGAGGTCAAGGAGAGAGCAAAAATCAAGCGAGTGACTAAACGAACGGTGAATAAGCTAAATCGCAAAATTTCCCGTCATGTCGTCGAGAGCAATTCCTTTTTCGCCTCGCCAAACCTCATTTGCGTTTTTTATTCCGACATTCGCGAGTATTTCGAGCTAAGAGCAAATGCAGATGCTTTCGGGGTCAGACCGAGACTAGACGGGAAACATATATCCACCCGAAATAACCCAAAGGCCATCGCACCATTATCTCCACGTTCCAGCGGCAAAATCAAGATAGGCCGAGCTGGTACAGTATGAGAGTCAGCAACAAGCGATAATAACTGACTGATTGGATTACACGGAGATTGTGAGGAGATAACGCGGGTTAAAATCACGAAAAATGAATTGGGTAAGATTTGGAAAACAAACCGATGAGCGTGAATGTTATATTGAATCGCCGCGTGCTTGCTGTGTCTCACATGCACAAACGAGGGGCTCGCGGCCGACGCATTTGTTACCACTAATGACATTACTTCCGAAATGCAATACCGCACACTTGCAGTCCGATACTAGTCTTGAAGTCATGTTATACTCCGTCACATGGTGTTGCGGTCTCTAGCGATATATCTGCTCTCAGTTCTAATCCAGGGAGTGCTATAAGCCAAAAAAATATTCCAACTAAATAAATAGATAACAACCGCCAGGACCAACGCTGCGTGAACTTTTCAGCTACGCTTGAAGAACTGTGGTCATGAAATATCAAGTCGACGTGACCACGAACCGAAATATCTCAAAATATCTTTACCGCTGTCAGGGTTAAGCCGGGACCTATGTTTGTTTTAAACGCAGTCCCTGTGAGTGTGTTATCACTGCGTAACCGCATTTTTGTTTGATTGTTTATCAAAAGTGCTACTTTTCTAAGGTCACCAAAAGAGATACCGAGAGCATTTTATCAGTCACTTGTGTGACAATTAGTACCAAGCTGTTTCCAAATTTCAGTTGCATATTTGCCGTGGTTTAATATATTTTTTGTACACACTATTTTTGGAGCAAGGAAATCGCGACCCCAATGTTTTTAAGTTGTTTACAAACTTTACAGCGAAACGTGCTTCGAAACGGGGACATGTGACGCACTTCCGGCACGGGGGAATCAGAGTACGGGGGTGTATTTCCGGTGGCTTCTTACCCCTGGATTAAATCCACCATAATTAGAACTAAGTCTTCTGATGTTTCCTTTGTAAAACTAGTAAACATCCCAAGGAAAATGACTATGGTGCTTTTTAATATTTTCATCAGAAATGAAGGCCATAATTTAAAACAAGTTTGGTTGTAGGTGCTAAAAGCACCATATCAAATGCAGCCTGCCTGTGAGCCAGTTGATAACTTGTTTGCGATAGGCCACGAAGGGAGACAACTTGAACTGGTTGGCAACAAGAGAGCTATCAGCTCCGAAGTTTTCTTGAAAAGAATAATTCACTTCTATATAGATGTTGAAGGTAGATGAAATTAAAATGATTCGTGCGCTGCAGTAAGAATCAAGAAGTGAGTAGTGTTAAGCATTTTTTTAAAATTTGTTTCTCTCTATTACCGATTACGATTAGGTTTCCAGGCATAAATTCAGCACCATTGAGTTACAAGGTATCTGTCTGATTTACAAGAACCAAACGCACAAGTACACACACAGCCTCAAAAGACATAAAACGTCTGCCAATCGCTGTGTATTCCGATCATTGCGCTATCTGGGCTGTGGTTGGTATGTAGCTGCGATGTTTGCAGTCTACAGGTCGCGCTGTGGGCGGCTATTTTGGGGTGCACCCATTTTTTTTTAGGTGTTAATTTTCTGTCTAGTCTGGACTTTCTAGAAATTTCGTGCTTAATTTCGACTGCATAAGAGTTTTATACCGCGGGTATCCACTCCAAACTGCCGAAAATCAGTGATCCTCGTGAGAGAGTAACTCTCTGCACGCTTGTAGCAGGGAAATAAGTTGAATATCACGACAATTAACTTTTTTTATCACCATATCGTCGGTACTACAATTGCGATAATAACATGCACTTCTTAGGACAAATATCTAAAAATTTTCCTGAGGAGTAGAATTCCCTGGTTATAATCAAAGCTGAACTTAACAGATAAAATGTTCAAAAATGTTTCTCTTTGAGTGCATGCTTGATCGGTTAACACCATTGATATCAACCGTTAATACTCTTAAAGAATTTAGAAAATCCTTGATATTATCCGTTTCAGTGAGCGCGACTTCAGAACCCTCCACCTCAGAAACAAAAATTTCAATTCCTCATCATAAATAGTTGTTGGTTTTTTAAAAGCTTAACGTAAAAAAGAAAACTGGGAATGCCCTAAAGAAGCTCGTAAAATTAGAAAGAGTTGCGAGGTCAATATTCCTGAAATAACAAAACCAGATTTACTCTAGCTGTAATTCAGTTCGGGGTTTTATTATTATTTTTTTTCACACAAATCTTCTTTAATCAAGATTTTATGATAACGAGTTGCTATGCAAGGTAGTTCCTCTCTTAAATATGTATCGGCAAACACGCAAATGTATCTGTAGTTCCAAAGAGGTTCCACTGAATTAGAAACAAGCTTGCAAACGTTTCCACTCGATCATTTTGCTCTAATGCGGAAAAAACTCGTTGCTCTTGCGTACTTGTTTGAGTTCACACGTTCGGAATTCTCCAACGAAATTCTCCAAATTTCACGTTTCAGAAGCACGTTATTAACCTGTTAATAAACCTCTTGACCTCTTTGGGAATTATGTTACACTTGTCACAAACATTTCAGTCGCAACATTGGCAGCAGAAGGAATGAAAAACTGGTGTCAAAAATTTCTCGCAAGTAGAGAGAAACAAAGTCCAACTTATTAGTGCTTCGTGTTATTATAACGTCTGCTAATGCCTTGGTATTTTGAAGTGATGAAAGATAACACCGAAATGAAACAGTAGCACTGATAGAACACAGGATTAAGATATCAAATATATAAAATTTTCAAAGTGTTAACCGGAGAGTTCGCTAAACCCAGACACAGTCGAAAAAGCTAGATCAGTGAAACCACCTCTACACTGAAGAATTAAAGAGAGTTACTGAGACCTCAATGATCACAGCTTGAACCTAATGCAATGTGTGTGATAATCGTTACTGGACTGTAATGAGATTTCGTAACCTACGTAACCTGAATTGCAAAATCTATTTTTTTTTGTAAAATTACTGATTAGTGCAAGGTATGTACTCACAGACTGTAGGTCTCATTCAACAACTGAAACAGATGTTACTTGAAAGCAAGGAAATGAGATTACTGGTAAACTAATCAGCAACAACAAAAACGACAGCAAGAACAGAGAAACAGTTATCAAAATACTACACTTAAATTTTCGCAGTTACATGGAAGATGTGCTGCGGAGTTTTTTTTTTTTTGGTTTTTTTTTTCCACGTGGAAGATATTAATTAGCGGTGCGGACCTTTTTTCTTATTGAATGAGATAGACGGGTCAATAAATCTAAGGGCTACGTCTTCGCCATGTTTTGCTATACATGGACCTTTCATATCAAGCTCGACGGGAAGATAAGAGGGGAGG